ACATAAAAATTCTATACAGTCCTTTTCCTCTATATTAGTTGCATGAAAGCAAGCATGTCATAATCATTACGGTTATGAATAATAGTGTATCTTATAATATTAATAATAACATTCTTTTAAATATAGTGAAAGACACAGGTCAAAAACTTTTTTCGATTTCGGATTAGTGTCATCCATGAATCGAGCATCGCGCACTACGATAAAACATCAACGAAGTGAGAAGTAGGAACAGTAGAGCGTGAATACCGACACGATACATTTCGATTTCGAGCAAAAAAAACACCGACTTTGGGCAGCTCTGGGTTAATCAATCAGAATTAAGTGTCCTAGTGCAGGAATAAATAAAGATCATTTGAGAGCAATGTGAATGATTATATATGCTATATTAGATGCACTCTATTTTTAAATATCAATATTTTTATTATCTAGATAAAGATGAGATGGCATCAAAATTTCATCTAGATAATTTTATCCAGATAAGATCGAACACTGGTTATTGAACAGTTTTAATTATCTAAAAGTAGTCATGAAGATAATGAATCGATTTTAATAGTATGGACTATTGTCCTCCTTAGCGTACTCGTAAAATTAAAACTTTAATTCATTAATTTTTTTAATTACATCTAACACGTACACACACACACACACACACACACACACGCACGCACGCACGCATGCACGCACGCACACACACACACAAGGACTCACTTTGATCAAGCATCTCTAATGCCTGTTTCCACCAATGCAGATTAACTTTAATCTCGGTTTAACTTACTGTTAATCTTTTTCTAATTTTTAGATAAAGAGTAAATTGAACCAAGATTAAAATTAATCTGCATTGGTGGAAATGGGCATAAGAGGTGGATATCCGACCGTACCACCTTCACGCGGTACACCTTAGATAACGCGCCGGCGATACTTAAACTTTGAAGTTCATAACTCAGAAAGATCTCAAGCAAAAAGGGTTTGTAAATGTCAGTGTTTCGGAAACGTCTTGACACCAGCTTTAAGAATATGTAATAGAAAATAGGTGTTTCCATTTAAGATTTCAAAGTTGACCTTCACGGTGTCCTTCAAGGTCACATGAAAGTCATTTCAATATAACCGTATAATAGATCACTTGATATACTAAAACTTTTGTGTGGAACATTTTTTTCCATAATCATTATTTTCCAAGATATTTGACCGTTGCCGAACTTTTTGCCATCACACATAAGGCACAATTGATAAGAGCCTTTGTCGAAGTTATATGTGAATATAATTATTAGAAATATAACTATTATATTTGTAATATATTAGATTTGTAATATAATATATATATATTATATATATATATATAAATGTAGGTATAATTACTTGTGCATGATGCGGACGTTTATATAATGCTTATATACAGTGTGTCTATAACTATTACCACCTAAAATATCTTCTAATCTATAAGGTGTAGATAAAAATTTATATAACCAAAACTACACGATGTAAAGGGGGCTATCATATTGTGATAATAATTTTTGTCCAGGTGGAGGTACTTCAGAGATTTCAAGGTCAACTTCGTTTTTTTGAATGGAGTTATATGAATTTCTTTACACAATATGATTCTTCTAATTCTTCTGCATAAAAAAGTATTAAGATAAGTATGTATGTCAATATCTCCCGACGTTATTAGAACAACAAGCCTAATCAATAATCAGAAGATGTTGCATTGATGAGTGGTGGTCATCATTTCGAACATCTATTATCGTAAAAAGTTTTGTTAGAATAATGTGTAAAATATCTCGTAAACACTATTCATATTTTTCGATACTATGATCTTAATACTTGTTTTTATATGCAGAATAATTAGAAGAATCATATTGTGTAAAAAATTCATATAATCGCATTTAAAAAAACGAAGTTGACCTTGAAATCTCCGAAACGCCTCCATCTATAATAGACAAAAATTATCACCATATGATAGCCCCCTTTATATCGTGTTATATAAATTTTTCTCTACACGTTATTATAGATTAAAAGATATTTCTGATAATAATAGTTATTGAGACACTCAGTATAATACTAAACAACAAATTTAAAATTATTAAGGAAAATATCGAGGGGTTCACTCACGACAGTGACTTCCGATTTCTTGTATTCGTGCTATTTTAACATGATTTCAAAGTAATTTCATCAGTGTTTCGAGACGCGCAACCAAACTTACGACGATGTATTTTTGTTTGATTTCTTGATTTCAATAATAAATTAATATAATAAAACCCAATATCCAAAAAATCAGAATTTTGGATTCGTATCTAAAATTCTGAATTTTCAGATACTGGGAATGCTTAACTGCCTCGTTTATTGATTTTCTTGTTGATTTCGTACGTGAGTAACCCTTCGGAAAATGTAATATGAGATTTTTGCGGCTAAACGTATAAGTACAATTTTTCAAGAAGTCGTGTCATTTTTTGATGAAATTATTCATTATTACAAATTTCCATATTTTAACGTTGATTTATTAAACGATATGTTACTATTTATATACATATACATTAAAAAGAAATTTTTTGAAATTTATGTGTATGCTACCACAAGAAATTTGATTTCAGAACTGGCCTTAGAACAAAATAATAATGGCAGATATGACCATCAACGTTAACTATTTAAAAAGTTGGAATGGAATTATTAAGACCTGTCAAGTGGTATATATCATTATCATTTATTTATTTATTGAGATAATTGTTATGATTTCTTTATTATTTTACATATTTAATATCATTTTTCAACATAATACAGTTAATTAATTATTAAATAACATCAATTTAATTGTCAATTTTTCAATAAAAATGTATGATAACTTCAAATGTAAATAATTCTAAACAGTTTTGGTCCTTCTAATCATATAATATACGTAATATTTAATCAATATTATTTTTAATTTAAAGACTACAAATTGCGAAAAATATTTATACAACTGTACAAAAGTAACACAATTTTATATTTAATATTTTAAATAATAGAATAAAGTTACATTTTCAATTTTCGCTCTCTTATTGTTATTTAAATTTAATATATTTGTTAAACAATTTAATAATATAAATAATTTTCGTATTCTTGAATATATTTTTATAATATAATATATATATTTTTCGATATTCTTGTGTTTACTTTTATATTCATGGAAACTTTATATCTTTCATTAGTTTTTTCAATTTTCTATACTAACAGATACTAGGTGTGATTTGCATAGGAATTGTTGGTAACGAACTTAATCGTGAAATGATAATCTTGTACAGACCACCAACATATATCTACTCTTTAATCGCAGCATGTACTTTCTTTATTAACACTGTTATTCTACATATTAGTAATCTGATATCTCCCACTGCTGCATCTAATATATCTAAAACTATTTACGTAAGTAATTAAAATATACATAAATGAAGTTATGTGATTTATAAATTTGTAATTTGTAAAACATATTATATTAAAACTATTAGTCTCGTTCTGTTTGTAAAACGAGAAAAAGTAGTTTGTAATATTACCACACAATCAAAACACCAAAAATATGAATAGTTACTGTTTATAGTTTATTTAAAAAATTAGTAATTTTTTTTCAAATTTTTAGGAATTCCTTTATCATTTGATTGCGTCTATATTATTACTTTCGGCTTCAATAGCAATAATGGTTGTGATAAATAGAGATAAAGATGTAAATGATATAATTTTAGTTAACTATGAAATGTTATTAGCAGCTTCCGTAAGTATAATATACTATATATATACCTATATCTATATATACAGGATGTCCCAATAATAACTCTCACGAGAGATTTGATATTGTTTATCTAACAATAAGCATATTTATCATAAATATTATAAAAAATAGTTAGGCTAATATTTTATATAATAGTTTTTTTATCAGAATTATAAAAATTTGATATATACATATATTAAATTTTTTCATTACTTTTTTATAATTATATATATATATATAAATAATAAGTCTAATCATGTTGTACTTCATATACGTAATTTTATGTGTATGTTTTATTAGATTATAAAAAATGTATTTATTTTTATTTAGATTTGCAATCTGTTAAATTCCATTTTATACATCTGCAGTACGATTATGGGCTTTAGGACTTACGGAGATGATTAAAAGGTTACAATAAGTTTGTGATTCTCTAAACAATAAAAATCGATTACATTTGAAATAAATTATTTTTTATGATTTGTTTGTAGACGAGTCAGGTGGATTTAGAAACATCAAAAACATCAAAAAGAAATACGTGTTGAAACATATCAAGGTTATTTATTAAAATCGATATGCAAAAATATATGTTATACAATAAATCTTGACTATCGAATTAAATTTGATACTTGGTGTTTATTTATTTTAATTACTTCTATTCTATAATATAATAAATTGTATTACTTTACAACTCTCTAAAACTTTTAAAGTAAACCTCACTTTGAAGAGCAAAGTGTCATTCTTAAGGAGATTCTACAGTCGTCGGTAATTATCTGACTAAATCATATAATTTTTGTATCCTAAATACTTTTTTTTGTCATTCACAGATTCGAAAATTCTTTTCGACAAAGAATTGCAAGCGCTGGTGGATGAAGACCTTTGTCAAACGGAAAAACAATTTGCAGAAACATTAAATTGTGCTCAATCTGTTATTTTTGATCATTTAAAAGCCTTAGGAAGGATCTACAAGGAAGGAAAATGGATCCCATATGAACTGAAGCCAAGAGACATTGATAGATGAAAAACCGAAATTGCGAAATTCTGTTTGCTAGGCAACAAAGGAAAGGATTTTTTCATCGAATTGTGACTGGCGATGAAAAGAGAGAGAATGGATCTTTTTTGATAACCTCAAACGCCGAAAAACTATTTGCGATCCAGGCCAATCATCGACATTTACGCCAAAACGCAATATTCACAGGAAGAAGGTCATGCTCTGTATTTGGTGAGACTATAGAAGGGTGTAGTGTACCATCAGCTGTTGAAATCTGGTCAAACAGTCACAGGAGATCTCTACCGAGAACAAATAATGCTTTTGAGCCGAGCATTGCGCGAAAAATGATCAAAATATGAGACAATACAGCATAAAGTGATTTTGTCTCATGACAACGCTCAACCTCACGTCACTAAGGCTGTTAAGGAAACATTGAAAGAATTTTGCTGGGAAGTGCTTCCAATGTTTGGAACTACCCCATGCGGTTTATTCATCAAATTGTGCCTCTTCCGACTACCACTTGTTTCGATTGATGGCACACGCACTTGCTGAGAAACGCTTCAATTCTTATGAAGACGTCGAAAAATGGGTTTCTGATGGGGAGGCTGGGTAGCCTCCAAGGATGAATCATTCTTTCGCCGCGGAATCCGCTTGCTGTCCGAAAGATGGGAAAAAGTCATTTCTAACGATGGACAATATTTCGATTGATGTACTTTTCCATTTTGTTTCTTAAATAAAATCATACTTTTTACAAAAAAACGGACGGAACTTTTAATAGTTCCTGTCATTGTAAATTTCCTTTAATCAAGTTATTTTCACAAAGACATCCTCCACGTTGTCCATTTGATCGCACTGTTCACGTAGATTCGATTTTCGAACAAGTACTATGCTCAATATTTCCAATAATGTGTTAAACTTTATCATCAATTTACAATTTATATAGGATAAGTTTGTAGAATTACAACGAATGCTGTATATCGACAGCTCATATTGAAAGAGGCCGTAGAATGAATATTTTAATGGTTTAAATTTTTTAAAAATCAATATACCTATAATTATTCATTTAATAAAACATAATTATTCATTTAATTAAACATAATTATACACCTGTCATTATACATTTTAACACTTAATTAACTTTTTTTTAAAAGAAGTTATATTTACCAACATCATTTACATCATCTTTTTCAGCAAACACAAGTTATTTTTTTGTACAAAATCGAAACATGATGTTTGTTAAAATGCTATTTAATGATATATATAGAATAGAAATTTATTCACTTCAGCATACATAGCCAAGAAGGGGACTTGGTTTACATAAATACCTATTGCACACATTCTTCCATACCTTCTATGTTTACTTCGCACGCTCCTCTGAAGCATACTCTATACACAGCCATATACTATCACAATTTGCGCTTAAATCACAATGTCGCCTATCTATCTTAAAATCTAAGTGGCTAAATACTAAGTGTCTCGCCTCACAATTCCCGCTCTTTATCTATACATTACTTTCACATACATCCACACTCTTAAACCTGTACACGCCCACTAATACCTCAATTATTCAGTCTGGAATTTCTTTTGCCTCACCTTCTACACTTTTCTTTTGATCCCTATTTCTGAGTACCTTCTCTCTCTCTTTCCATAGTTTATACAGTATTCTACCTTTCGTTTCGTCCAACCTTTCATTCCATAAATTTTCAAAAATCAACTCCTCCCCATCCATGTCTTTGAAATTAATCTTTAACCCTTTACACTCCCTGATATAATGCGAAATATTATCCTTCCCTGACTCACAGAAAATGCATTTCCTTTTACCCTCCTCTAACCAGTACTTGTTATCCTCTTCTAAATTCCCACACCTCAATTTCATTAGCGCTCTTACCTCATCTCCTCTTTTCCAATCTTTTAAATTCTCCAATTTCAGGTAGGCAGGTAAGCCAAGCACAGAACTCCATGTCTTATACCTCTCACTATACCTTGCTTTCCTAATTTTGCCCTCCTCCCATTGCCTCTGTATATCCCTCTCCCTGTTAATTAACTCAACTTCAAAACCTTCTCTACCATTCATTACTTCACTCGCATCTATTCCCCAACCATTCCTATTATAATAACTTATCCTCTCCTGACCATATAAATCTCCCCACCCGTTATTCCTCTTATCTTCCCAGCATCTAACAACCAAATCTCCTACTTCCCCTGATTTTATCCTCTGTTCATATCTCCTGGCTCTGATTCCCCACCCTACCCTCATTTTATCCATTACTAGCTCCCTCATAATAACATACCTTGGTGTACAGAAATCTAACCTAAACATCCACCTAACATAATCCATCATTACCTTTTCCAATTCTGCTCTTTCCATCCACCCCCACATTTCCAGCCCGTATGCCATTACACTTTGGACCAAGTATTTGAAAAGAGTCCACCTTCTCCTAAAATCATTTCTACACCACCTTTCCCCCAATCCCCATACCTTCCTCCCCACCAGACTCCCTTTTCTCCTTAATTCCTTGATATGGTCCCCATAGTTCCCTTTCCTGTTTAACATAAAACCTAAATATTTAAACATTTGAACCTCTTCTATTACCTTATCACACCATTTCCATAATTCTAACTTCTCATTTCGCTTTTTATTACACACTAGTACCTTCGTTTTTTCCGTACATAACTCAAGACTCTTTTCCTTTATAAATCTCTTAAAAGTAATCATCATATCCTGCAGCGCTTCTCTATTCCTCGCAATTAATACTATGTCATCCGCATACGCAAGATTCCATATCCTATTTCCACCTACCATTATACCGCCTATACCCCTAGTTCTTAATTTTTCATCTAAGTCCGCAATGTACAAGTTAAAAAGGAGTGGACTCATCACACAGCCCTGCCTCACTCCTCTCCTTGTTATAAAGCTTTCGGTATTTCCTGACTTCGTCCGGATCATTACCTCCGTTTTTTCGTATATTATCTCCAACCTCGTGACGATTCCTTCCATGACTCCTTTGTCTCTCAGAGTTCTCCACAATTTCCCTCTATCCACCCTGTCGAAAGCAGCCTTCAGATCCGCAAACATCATGAAAACTTTCCTATTTCCTTCTTCCGTCAAACTTTCTCTTTGTATAACGTGTGACAGCACAAAAATATTATCCATGGTTGACCTTCCTCTTCTAAAACCTGCTTGCGTTTTTGGTATCATACCTTTTCCTTTTGCTTCTTTTTCCAGACGGTTTCTTAAAATCTCCGCATATATTTTATACGCAGTACACAGCGGAGAAATGCCTCTATAGTTCCTGACCTCATTACAGTCACCTCTCTTATACAAAGGCACAACTATACTTTTTCTCCAATCTTCGGGCATTCTGTTCTCCGTCCATATTTTCCTCATTAAGGAGACAAATTCCTTCCGTAGACCTTCTCCAGCGAACCTCCAAGCTTCCATTGGTATACCATCTACACCTACCGCCTTTCCTGTCTTCATTTTTCTTACAGCCTTTATAATTTCTCCTTCCTCCAATTCTTCGCTTACAGATTCCGTTGTTTCCTTTACGTTTTTTT